AGTTGTATTAAAGCAAAAGGCGGATACCCAAAATATTGATTGGTTCATAAATTACGCCTTCTAATGTATCATGCGTCTAAATTTATGAATAAATTTTTTTGTCTAATTTTTTTAATACCATGTAGTTGTACCTAATTATTACTTAGTATTTCATTTTTTTTCTAAACTTTTTTTTAAATTTTGTATTCTGTATGTATTTATCTGATAAATAGAAAAAAAACTAAACCGAAATCTTTTCTCGTCATTGTTTTATCGTTAAAAAACTAAAAATTTTTATTCTCAAATATGAGTGCGTCTAAATTTATGAAAACCACTGTATATATATATATATATATATATATATATATATATATATATATATATATATATATATATATATATATATATATATATATATATATATATATATATATATATATATATATATATGTATATGTATATGTATATGTATATATATACAGGCCTTGTGATGAATTGGGAGCAATCGCTCCTGACACGTGAAACACTCCTGTAAATGAACTTCCGGACGCAACAAATAGCGTTAATGGCGCATATAATAACAAAATAAACGAGTGGGATTTTTTACCTATGTAACAAAACTAGCGAGCGCTATTTGTCGTGCCTGGAAGCTCATTTACATGCGTGTTTCATGTGTTGGGAGCGATTGCTCGTGATTCATCACTAGCACTGTATATATATTTCAAGCTTGGACAGGAATTGGACAGAAGTGCGATCACACTCTGTAACTGACCACACTAATAGTTTTTTTCTTTACAACTTGACCACGGCTATTTTGATGTTTTAACAATTTAAATGCAATAAAAAGTGTTCGTTGTGAATAACCTTTAATCGTTGATCTTTTCTAAAGTTTTTATTTTAAGTGAAGGCTTTAAAATAAAACCATATAATTAATTCTTTTTTTAATGATTGTTTACATAAACATGTGTATAAATTATTAAAAAATGTTATATATAATTTTTTTTTATGTAAGAATGTATTTTTCATGATTAATTTAAATGTTTGAATAATATAAGCATGTATTTTGTAATGTTCATAAGGTTTTATATCTTATATAAGCATGTATTTTGTAATGTTCATAAGGTTAATTTTTATAAACTAAAATCTTTAAAAAAAAAAAAGTTTCATTTTTTGAATTTTTTTTTTTTTTTTTTTTTTAATTACGATAGGAATGAATGAGTTAAAATCATTTATAATAATTTTTAAATTCGTTATGTGAAGCGCCTATTAATAAAGTTGTAATGCTTCAATTAAAATTAAATTAAATTGCTTGTTGGCAGTTTATTTTATTTATATCGCAGGCGCATTTTATTATTATTTTTTTCTATTTTTACGGATAAAAAAGTTGGAAACCTTTTTTTTATTAACTTACTAATTAGAGTTATTTTTTTAAACAAATATTTTTTTGCAACTTTTTTGAAAAAATAAATGTTTACAATTTAAAAATATTAAATACAATACTTTTTAATAAATTTGATGAAATTTGTTCATTTATTAAATTTAGTAATTTGCCACTTAATTTAAAAGCGTTTTGCATAACTTTAATAAAAGGTTTAAAAAGATTTATTTCAAACGTAATTAAAAATGTAACAAAAAGTTTCAAGTTTTTATTTTTAATTTTTATTTTAGTGCTTATAGAATTTCTTTATCGTTAATAATTTTTTTTCGTTAGGAATTTTTTTTTCATTAGTTTTTTTTTAAACTTTTTTCCTAGTTTAAGTTTAACTTAGCATTTTTACATTCAGTGCATTTTTGAAGTTTTTAAATTATCAAAACATATGAGCAATCGTGTTCAAGCTGTCAAGAAATAAAATCATTTGCATGGTCAGCAATACCGCTCAATCGCACGCCATTCCTGTCCAAGTCTCTCTCTCTCTCTCTCTCTCTCTCTATATATATATATATATATATATATATATATATATATATATATATATATATATATATATATATATATATATATATATCAGACCTAGGATGAGCGCCGTTCAAATTGAACTCGCTCATGAGCGGTGCTCAAAACTTCTGAGATAAGGGTGAGCGCGAGCGACATCATATTTACATGAACGTGAGCGTGAGCGAATGCTTTTTTGATAGCGCTTAAAAATTACACTCATTCTGTACCTTCTAGCGGCCAAATATTGAACTAGTTAACATGGAGTTAACTCCATGTTAAAATCTGTCATCTAGCGCCTGCTCATCTGAGCGCCTGCTCATCTGAGGGCCTGCTCATCTGAGCGCCTGCTCAAAAAATTTTATGAGCAGATTTGCGAGCGTCCGTTCATAAAAAACTGCTGAACAACAAATTGAGCGCCGCTAAGAATTTTATGAGCGAGTCCTAGGTCTGATATATATATATATATATATATATATATATATATATATACATATATATATATATATATATATATATATATATATATATATATATATATATATATATATATATATATATATATATATATATATATATATATATATATATATATATATATATAAACATGACTTTAATAAAATGTTTTTTGTAGAGTCGCCCTTTTGGTGTTGCATTGTTGATTGGTGGAGTTGATGACAAGGGAGCAAGACTGTAATTATATATTTTTGGAATTTATATTTTTATTAGGACTTTAATATAGGTGGAATCTTGAAATTAACAGTCAATGATTTTTGATAATTTTTTTTTTAAAAGCAAAAATTTCATTTTTAATACATTTTTAAATTTGAAACTGGTAAAAAAAACTGTTATTTTTTTATGTTATATTTAACTAAAGTATGTTATAATTTGTATGTTAATAATAATTAAAATAAAATAAATAAAAATTTAGTTAAAATTTAATTAAAAGTACATTACAAAATATTACCAAAAGTTTTAAATTATAAAAATCATGGTTTGAGATCATTAAATCATTTAATTATAGAATTTTGCAACCAATTTTTATTTCTTTGTTTGCTCCCTTTCTCCTTTAATAACAAAAATTGTAAAGATAAAAATAATAGTTATAAATTTAATTAAGTTAAAAAAACTTGTTTGTTCATGCTTAATAAAAGTACAAAGTATCTAAAAAAAGTGAAGTTGCAAATTATCTATAAAGAAAATTATCTATAAAAAAATTATCTATAAAAAATTATTTGTGAAGTTGCAAATTATCTGTAAAAGTAGAAATCATCTGTAATAGTTTCATTTCCAAGTACAGTAGTACTTATACTTTTACAGGTTGTTTTTTTTAATTGATTTAGTTACAATATACAATAAGAAATAGTTTCTATTTAAATTTTTTGTTTCTAGTTTTCATTTGGATCCTTCAGGAACATTTTTGCAATATGATGCAAAAGCTATTGGTAAGTGTTAAATATAAAAGGTTTAAATATTACTTTTTTATGTTTACTCTTTTTCTTTTTTTGTTTCTTGTTCATTCTTTTTTTAATTTTATTACTATGTATCTTAAAGTTTTTCTAATGGACATTCGATTTTTGTATTTTTATAGGTTCTGCATCAGAAGGTGCTCAACAGACACTTCAAGAAGTTTATCACAAGGTAATTTTTTAAATAGCTTTTAATCAAAAATATTTGTTATGCTAATATTTATCAAAATTAAAATAAGTTTATTAAATTTTTATAAAATTTGAAGTTTTAGCAATTTTTAAAATATACTTTATTTCAGTAATTCTGGTTATTGCTTGTTTTATATAATGTTAAAGTCTAGCTTATACTCATCTGGCGGTAACGGATGAATTGTTTTCACAAAGGGCAACTAAATTTATCAAAGTAGCTAGTCAGAGCGACCAGTAATAGCTAAAATAGCTAGTCAGAGCAACCAGTAATAGCTAAAATAAGTAGTCTTACAAAAGTAACTTACTTAGTAGACTTACAAAAGACTACATAATAATGAAACCATTAAAAAGCATTTAAAGTATTTTTACACTATGTTGCATTATATAATTTTACTGAACGTAATTAAAAGAAAACTTGAATTAAATTAGATATAAGCGCAAATTAAAATGTTTTAAAGTGCAACTGTTTTCTAAAATATTGTAGTCACATTTTAAAGCACATTTAGTTTATATTCAAAATGTGTTTCCAAATCACATTTTTTTGAATTTAAAATGCACATTTTTTTCCACCATTCTTTTAAAAGTTATTGTCGCATTTTGAATAACAAGAATGAGCATGCAAATCATTAATAATGCCTAAGCTTTTGTTTTTCATAGTTAAAATAAGTTTTTATTATAACTTTGTCCAACCAAACTTTATCAATAATGCGCATGGAAAATTTTTTCTAAAAAAGAAAAAAGCTGTTGTATATTAAATTTAAAACATTTCTACTTTAAAAACTATACTATTTAAATTTATTAAAAAAAATGAAAATTTAAATAATTTTTACTTTTTTACTTTTTATTTTCTTTTAGTTTAAGTCATATTTTAGTAGTCCAATGTTTTAAATAGTTTTTTTCAGTTTTTTTTCTCCATGATTAAGAAAAGCTCCACTAAAAAACTTAAATACCGTACTACTGGTAATTAAAAATAATGCTCATGTTTAACTTGAATCTTCCACTTTGTGGAAGATTCAAGTTAAACATGAGCAATATTTTAGTCACTGGAAGGGCAACTGGACAAAAATCTAAAGTTACACCACTGATGATGTGAACAACACTGATGATATTAACCCTTTTTTTTATATTTCCACTTACTTTTACATCTAATAAAAGTATAATAGGGTGTGATAGCTACCCTTGAAACATTAAATTTTTATTGTAGAATTCATAATTTTAGTTTTGCATATTGGTCTAAAATGCATCCCTGTAAAATTTCATGAAGATGGTGCAATTTTTGTGGTTTTATGGATCTTGCAATTTTATTTAATTTTTTAATCGTTTTTTCCAATAAATAAATGTTGGGTCTGTGGGTTAAACCATTTTAATGCAATTATAAATTTTTTTATAATAGCATTAAAGTGTTACTTAGCATGGTTCCTGCAGATGATTATAAGAAAATATAGAGTTCAAAACTGCCAATACAGGTCATAAAAACACAGAGACAGGTCTTGTGCCTTTTATAGATCTCTATGCCTTTTATCAAACCTGAAAGACTTGCACTGGGATCAAGCTTTATCTGAAGCTATAGACAATGTATTTTTACACTATCAGAAAGCCAATATCCCAACTCCAGTAGGGAGAAACAATATTGGTAAAGTATTCATTACTTTAATGAAATTGAAAGATAATAAAGAATATAAAAGATGAGAAGATGAACCAAGACTTTAATCAAAATTTAATCAGAATTGAATTTGACAATCAAACTTTATAAGAACTCAGTTGTAAAGGACATTTCTGCTAAGAAAAAGGGGATAAATAAAGTTTAACAAGATGCCATTTGTATTGATATTAAATTTATAAATAGTATGTTGTGTGAAAGATTAGCTGCATATTCTGGGGCAAACAAGATTGTCAAAGAAAAAATAAAAAGGCAAATAGAAAGACATAAAAATAATCTGGAACGAGAAGGAAATGAACCCATGTAAGCATACTTTTGAAATGATAAATCTTGCAGACAGTAGCTCTTGTGAGAATGAGAATATTGAAAAAGTTAGCACCAGAACACAGAATAGGAAACAAAGAAAAGTTCTTAAATGTGGCATAGATATATTTGTTCTTCATGACATATTGAAAAATGACCTGACCTTGTTTCATGCAATTTCTGCAACATCTCATCAACCCAACTTAATGCCATTGTGTATTCCCTTGTAACAGCATGTGAGGGTGACCCATACAATCTGTGTCTAAATGGAAGGACAGCCTGCTGGTATAGAACCATTGTACCAGAAATAAGTTTGAAGATCAAATAAAATTGGATGCAATTGCCAAAAATGATAGTGCATTGAGATGGAGAACTTATGGATACTTGATTCTAAAGGAACAGATGACTTGCCAATTATTGTATCTGTAGGATTGCCAATTATTGTATCTGTAGGTGATAGTTCAAACCTTGTTGGTGTTCCCCCCACATTCAAAATCAGCAAAAGAAACTGGTAAAGCTCTTTAAGACATCATAGCAAAGGCAATTAAAAACTTCTTAATAAATGGAAAAGTGAAGAAAAGTTATTGACCTGGTTTTATGTTTACCTGTGTTTGATGAAGTTATACAAGTTCATCAAGTACAAGTTCATCAAGTACAAGTTCATCAAGTACAAGTTCATCAAGTACAAGTTCATCAAGTACAAGTTCATCAAGTACAAGTTCATCAAGTACAAGTTCATCAAGACAAATATAAAATATCTGAGTTAAGATCATACAATTACACTGCAATGAAATACATTTTCAGGGTAAAGAACTGCTGCATGTGTGTTACCACAAAAAGAATTATATTGTGCCCTTTTCTGGCTTGTCATAGGCATTTAAGTGAATTACTTTGCTGGAAAGGTTTAAAAGTGGAGACATCTGCTGGTCCACATATTTTGATCTACCAAAGGTGAGTTTAAATATTTTGTTAAACCTACAAACAATATATTATACAAAAAATAGTAAAAAGCTACTTTTTACAATTGAGATGTAGTGAAATTACTACTTATAGTTTTAACTTATAAAAATTAACATTTATTTACTATATTTTTACACTTTTTTAGGTTCAAGAAACATTGCCCTCGACTGTCACCAGATAAACAAGCAAAGTATTATTACCCTCATGTCTATAGAAGAAAAATCTCTTACAAAATCATTAACACAAGGTGACTATAAAGAGGTGACTATAAAGAGCTGGTTTAGCTTTGCCTGTTCATAATAACTAAGGGATCTGAACCAAAGAACTTTGATATGCTCTAACCTGGTGCCCTTCACAAAGCAAGGTGGATAAGTAAACTGATATATGCTCTGAAGATAATGCTTCTGTCTGGACAGATCAAAGAACATTTTCCAAAAGCTGAAATTGTTACTATCAATCAAACAAAAAATTAGAATGATTTGTTCTATTCTCAGTTTCTATTTAGTTTATATGCAGTGGTGGCATGTTTGTCCTGTACCAGCAAGTGCACCAGTGACTTACTTTAGTGAAAAATATTGCAAAATTTACATAGCATGGCTCAACTCTTGTTGCAAATGCTCACATTACATTCAGTTGGCACACTTGGTGTTTATCTGAGGAATTGATTTGGAACTATTAAACATTATTACAACCTGTGAAGAAACTTTTACTAATTTTTTAAATCTTGTACTTTATATGCTGTATTTAATAAAAGAAAATATCTTATTTCTTTTTCTGAGTCCGACCATGCTATTAGAATGCAACACAAGGAAAATTTTTGAGTTTTGGGCTAAATTTCATATTTTCTAATTGCCAGTGCTCATTTAATTGTGGATGAACCTTCAAAAAAAACTTATATGTCATTTTTATGCCTAAGTACAATACCAAAATTAAAGATGAATAGTTTTTTTTTATTCTAATATATTTTTAGTATATGATCATTAAAAGCATGTATAAACACCAATTTAACTTATATTTTTAATAGAAAATTAAATTAGCTATAAGTTACTTATAAATCTGGGCATACTGTATTGAAATATTTATTTGTCATGTTGTACTTCATAAAAATAAATTGTGACTCATTATATATAGAAACTATTCTTGTCCTATATATATATATATATATATATATATATATATATATATATATATATATATATATATATATATATATATATATATATATATATATATATATATATATATATATATATATATATATATATATATATATATATATATATATATATATATATATATATATATATATATATATATATATATATCAGGGCCTGAATTAAGTGATTGCGAATTGCAATATCCGGAAATAAATGTGGTCATTAAATTCTTAGTTTTTTTAAAAACCGTAAACACTGTTTTAATGAAACAATCAGTTAATAATATTGCAAAAATTAATGAAAAAGCAAAACAATAAATTTACTACTGCAAAAATAATAACAGTCAAAATTTACATATTATTAGTTATTGTTTTTTTAAACAATAATTAATAATATGTTATTTAAGGATTATAAATAAAAAAAGTTGCAAGACAAAAATTATTATTACTAAAGGTCCGAAAAACTTTTGCGGTAATTTAAAAATCAACCAATTAAAAACTATGCTTAAGCTATTTGCTCATTGTATAAAACTTTGTAGATAAAAACAACCAATAAAAAAGTATGCTAAAGCTACTTGCGCATTATATTAAACATTAAAATAGATTTTTATTTAGGGGGAAAGTTTATGGAATTATTTATTTAAAAATTTAAATCTTTTAAATTAGAATTTAATTATTTAATAAGAAAAAAAATTATAAAGTATATTTTTTTAAAAATATGTTATTAGAGTTTCTTTTTTTTTTGTTTTAAAGTAACTAGTGATTTTGTCGGTTATCCGTTTCAAAAACCGGATAACAGTTCTCGTCAATTTGGGGTTAACTGACTATTTGGTAAATTAGTGACGCTTTCTGACTACAGGATCTTCTAAATTTCAACAAACGTAGCGTTTTAAACTAATTTTTTAAAAATTAATGTTAAAGTGTACATTTTCAAGACAGTTAGTGAATACAGTCCTATATTATATATTTATAACAAAACATGGAAAAAGATATATATATTTTTTTATATTATAATATAATATACCTTTTAAATTATATAATTAAAAAAAGTAGGAATAATGTACAAGTATAGTTTAAATAATTTAATATCAGCGGATGTTTTGAAATCATTCTCTCATATAAAAACATTTGATTTGGAAAAATGAGATGTTATGAAGTAAATTTTTTTAGCGTGTATTTTAAAAACTTATTGTTATGCGGACATAGATGGAAACTTGAAGATAAACTTGAATGTTATCAAAACAACTTGTTGCATAAAGATAATATAAAGAATATTTGCTAACACTAAAATACCGCCAAATCTGCGAATAAACAAATTCTATTGGTTCAATATTTGACAAATGTTAATTTATCTTTGATAAATTAACATTTGTCAAACAATAATCGTCATAATTACGATGTTACTTTCTATAAAATTTCGTAAAATTTTTAAGTTGGTTTTTATTATTCGAAAATAGATATTTGATATTCGAACAAAATCCGGTTAACCGCAAAACCGGATAACTGGCGAAATCACTAAAAGTAACTATTAAAAAGTTTAAATTAGTTTTTATATATTACCTCTTCCATCTTTTAATTTTATATTCGTATCAGCTAAAGTGTTACAAGCGTTAAATTTATAAGAAAATATTGAATGAGATTTAAATAACATATAAAAGTATTTTATATTTGAATTAACAATTTCTTTTATTTAAAATATTCGATCACTGTTAGTCCTTTAGATTGTTGTGATTAGCGCTTATTTTTTAATATTTATATTGTACTTTATCGTGCTTTATTTTTCTAGTTTTATCTGATGTTTTATAACATAAATTAAAATATTAAAGTTTAAATTATAATCTTTAATAATAATAAAAGTAATAGTGATAATATGGTTTTACATTAAGATTTTATATCATAATCGACGTAAATATTTTTTATTAAATGATATCTATTGGGTTTAGTGATAAAACAATTTTTCGGTTTTTAAAAAGCTAAAATTTTAAAGACCCGAAGCATTTCCAGATATCGCAATTCGCGATCACTTAATTCGAGCCCTGTATATATATATATATATATATATATATATATATATATATATATATATATATATATATATATATATATATATATATATATATATATATCACAGGCCTTGTGATGAAGCGTGAGCGATTGCTCTGCGCATGTGAAACATGCTTGTAAATGGTCTTCTGGGTACAACAAATAGTGCCACTAATTTCGTTGCCAGAGTAAAAAATTATGCTCGTCTAAAGAACTTGTGAGGGAGAAAATTATTAGTTGATTTTATAGCAAATATTTTGGTAAAATTTTTTTGTTGAAGTCAAAATATGTTTAGCTAAACAGTAGAG